TTTTTTTTCAATTTTTAATATTTTTTTCAATATTAATTTAAGCTCTTGTATTGATATTCTCAAATTAGCTTAGTGAAACAGAACAAAGCTCCCTTGTGTGGGGAAAAACATAACACACAATCGACAAAACGTGCGTGTTTTTAATTTTTAAGCTTAACAGTGGGATTTAAATTATATAAAGAACGTAAACATAAAAAAATAGGCTAATTCACTTGTTAAAAGCTATTAATTGAGGCRTATGTGAGTGTCATGTCCTCTTGTTTGGTATACTAGGGTGTGTCCAAAATTGTATCGTTAGTGAAAATAGTTCTAAAAAAGTGATGAGCATGAAATAAAAACTAGAATCTTTATGTATTACTGAGAAATCCACCAAAGCTGGGCATAAGCGAATGCTGACTAAATAAAGCAACTGTGAGTGGTAGATTACGCTAATATTGTTGAGAAAAGTTTGTTAAAGACAAAACTCCGAAAAGGGTCCACAAAATAAAATTCAAGCCTAGGTTTAGCTACTAGTTGTTTATGCTTAAAACAAAATAAAAAAATATATGAAAACTAAAGTTTAGGTTCATTTTACATCTCACACTTAAATATATAAATATGTATGCACACATACTTACATATATACATTTCCGCTGATTGTTATGTTTCAATGTAATAAAGAAGCTAGTGCAATACTTAGACTAAATCGTATACATACATACATGCTTATGGTACAACCCACCACTGGGGATGTACAAAAACAAAATCTAAGAAAAAATTAGTTTTAGTTTTTTTAACTTTAATATTTTTAATATAAAAGAGAATTACAGTCGTTTTTTAGTCAATATTATATTAAATCAGTTGTTACTATATACTAATTACACACATACATACATATATGTATAAAAAAGCATATACAAAAACATATAAACACACATATAAAATACAAAATAATTGAAATATAATTCTGCATAGAACATTTAACTTTTGTCTGCATGTCATTGATGTTAATTGAAACAAAACCAAAAACAAACAGTAAGTAACAAATGCTATGGCACTTTCGAAAAAGTATATTTTAGGAAAAATATTGTGAAGTGAGCGTGTCAGACTGTAAGCATGAAGTTGTGTTAAATAATCAAAAGTCGGGACAAAAATATTTATTATGCTAAGTAAGTAGTGTTGTTGTAAAGTAATGCAACTCATGTGCAGGGCTGCAAATAATGCAGTAAAAAGTAATTAAATCRGCATTTAAAATAAATTTTATTTTTATTTTATTTTATTATCCCTAAAAACTTAATTAAAATCAATTTTAATTTTTTTTATTATAATTTGCAATAATCAATCATTAAGAATTTAAATTTTATTAATTTCATAATTTCAGCGTTTCACCTAGCGTTAATTTTTCCTAATTTATATCATCAAATTTGAAAATTAAGGTATTCTCAATTCTTAATCCAAAACATCTTGGTTTTCAAATTTTAACTTTTATTGCHAAAAATTAATTTTCAATTTACAAAAAAAAGCCAAATTTTTCTAAAGGAAATTTAATTCAGGCTAATTTTTAATTTTTTTAATAGAAATATTTCAACATTTTATTGACGAAACTTTAATGTTTATATTCAGAAAGTAAAAAAATATACAATAAAAACATATAGCACTTATTTATATAATTTTTAATTGAATATGAATAAAAAACCGACTCTTAATTATTTGACATTTATTTTAACGAGGCAACATATTAAAATGAATTCGTTGAAATATAAAACTATTTCAATTAATGGAAGCAGCAGTCATTTAAAATTAATTGATACTTTATGTAAAACAAATGCATACCTGAGTATTGTGAAATAAATGTATATCTTATGAAAAACAAAATAAAATCAAGTAAAAAAGTCTTATTTATTTATAGTGTTCTTGCAGGACGCTTAAAATTATATATAYTACACATTTATTTACCCGCATACAAACTAAATAATATACTTAGAAGTATGCTTGAGGTGCAGCTGTACAGAAATGTTGATTTACTTACAAATTATTAATATATATTTATATTATATTTTTTAACCAAACTTTTTTTTACTCAAGCTAAAGTTAATTATATATGTATATATAATCTTTATTTTTTTAGAGTTCAACAAATTTCGACGCTTTCATATTGACTCTAATCTATTGTCATAAGGTGTCTAATAATAGTTGCGCAATCTCACATTTGTGATACAAAGTTAAGTAACTAACCCGTTATAAGTACACATTATTGTGAGTTATGATTTAATATTTGTCTAATTAGTTTGAGGCAAGTATTATGCAATTTTTTAGAAAAACAAAGAATAATAAAAAAGAATAGTTGGCATATAGTAAATACAAAATACTATCGGGGATAAGGAACGAGCTGTGGTGAATACTTGAATTCAAAAATCTCTGGTTACACAGCTTTTATACAATAATTATATTATCAGTTATTTTATGATATGAATTTTATATTATATAACAGTGGATTTTTTATAACAATTTTATAATATTTTATATATTTACATCCTTTCTCCTTCCTTTGCTTCTTTCGACTTGAGAATTAATTAGACTATATGGTAAAGCCGAATTTTGTCTAAGCCAAAACAATTTTTCGAAAGATTGAGCCACACCGAAATTCTAAATTGAGCAAAGTTTACGGTCGAAATATTTTGCTTCGAATTTCGGTATTGAGATCAAAGTGGAAATTTTTAACTTCGAATTTCGAAACTAAGCAAAGTTCATAGTCGAAATATTTTACTTCGATATTGAGATAAAAGTGGAAATCTTTCATTTCGAAATTAAGTAATTAATTATGTCGAAATTTTTGACTTCGAATTTCGAAATTGAGTGATGGTAAGTTKAATTTTCGCCTTCGAGTTTCGAATTTGAACAAAGAACATAATCGAAATATCTATCTTCGAATATCAAACTCAGAAAAGATCAAAATCGAAATATTTAGTTGGAAATTTTACTTCGAATTTCGAAATTGATTGAAGATAAAGTCTAAATATTCGACTTCGAATTTCGAAATTGAACAAAGAACATAATCGAAATGTTCGACTTCAAATTTGAGCAACTGTCAGAGACAGATTTTCGTAAAAAAAAATTCTGCCATACAAGATGCACTGAAAATATTAAAAACTTTTGAAATACGATGAAAACTTGGATGATGCCCATATTCTAACTTTTTTACTAACGTACATACTACAAAAAATATAACATTTTCAATATGTTTAACTTCGAAATTCGAAGTCAAATGTATCGATTTTGACGTTTACTTCGAAAAACGGAGAAATTACTTTTTTACTTACGACTCAATCTGTAGCAAACAAAAAATTGGCTTGACCCCACACCCAGCCAAGTGTTGTACAGTGTAAAGCATAGTGACTACATTGTACAGCTCAGTTTCGGTTTCATTAACTTTTACCACTACATTGTACTTATTGTTCACTTTGTTTTGTTGTTGTAGCGACTGTTGTTACTTCTTTGGTTGTTGCTGTTGTTGTAGCTTCTGTTGCAGCGGTGTTTGTTTTAGAAACTTTGATTTTAGGAATTACAGTTCTATGCATATCATCCATGCAGTTGGGACTAAGCTCATGATAGAGCTTACGTTCACGCGCCGAGGATAAAAGGCTACGCCAAGCCGGSACTGTCTACAAAATTGTGTAAAAATTGTTTGTACAAGGTTAATATTTAGCTTAAAAGAATATTTTTAGATACATTYTATAATTTTAGATCAAAACTAACGAAATCATCAGAGATATAGCAGTGGATTTCAACATGTCTTACACTATATAGTACTATATACTATAGTAGAACGTTTGGTCTACTCAGTTTGGTCTACTCAGGCGATGGTAGTAGCCTTGCATAATACAAATTTTGGCTGCTATACTCGCGCTATCCGCCATACAAAATTGTGTTATAAGGACATACTAGAAATTTTGGTCTACTCAAGGACATACACTATTGGAAAAGCAGATGTTGGTGATACAGACAACGTGATTTGTTTATCCCCCTTCTGAATTAATAGATAATAGATTACTTAACACTAATTCTTATTTACCTCCAAGTTTTTAAAGTTTCCACATAATATAAGGCACTTCTTTGGACGTGTCAACGCCACATTCAAACGCTGATAATTGGCCAAAAACCCTATACCAGTGGTACGCGCATTCGATATAATAATAACATCGCGCTCCATACCCTGGTACGA